TAAGCTCCAAAAATTCATCACCCGATCTCTCTGTGGCCCCTTTCTTTCTTAATCTATGATGTATGTGAATGGAGAGTTTTAATGAGCTTAGGTTTCAGGTAAATTTTCAGAAGGCATATTGGGTTTTAGATTAGACATTATCATATTTATTCTGGTTTCTTATAGGTGTAAACCCCTATAGTTAATTACCCCTCTCAATAAAGATACATAACTTTTGATTAAGCTTAATCGTGGGATAGGTACTAAGTACTAGCATATAATAACAAAAAAATTAGATATTTGAATTTTATATTAAAATTTAAAGTTTATAATTTAAGATTTAACATTATGTACTTAAAACTGGTGATGGGGGAATGAAGTCAAGCCCAATCAAGATCCCATGATTTTGTCATTCGGAGCTATCATGGTTCCTGATTTACTTAATCCGAGGAGGTAGATGACCCAACCTAATAGAAGACACTTTATCGATAGTCATGGGTTACTTCATCTAAGAATATTTAGTACACTTAAGGTGGTGTTTATCTAAGGGGATAGATCTGAATCCACCTCATCTGATAAAGGGCTTTATGTCTATCAAATATACCTTATGATTTTTTCTCAATATTTTGACATTATTAGGAAATATACGGGCTTTAGCTATGTTGCTAATATAATGGTGCCATTTTGAGACAAAAGCACCTAATCAAAGGGCATGTGAAACATCCCTGCTAGTAAGAGACTATTTAAGGATGAATCTTAGTGATACACATGACATGACATTTGATCTTTATGGGATGAGGTAAATTCAAATTTACCACCCCTAATAAATAGTTACAAAAAGTGGAGGATTTTAGTTTTAAGTTTTCAAGTGATAGATAATATTTTAAAAAATTAGTTTTTTATTAGTTTTAAGATTTGACCCCTCCAATTGAGATTATCTGTAAAAATGGCTTTCATCATGGTATTTATGGGTAATTTCATTTTATTAGTTGAACTTTATTGACTCTATATACTTTTTGACAAAGAATTAGGTTTGTCATTATTTTTTGTATTTTTATTTATAAATCTTTATTGTAATAGACCTTGAAGGCCTAATATGAATGTATAAAATAAATATCCTGATCGAAGCTACGATCGTATATTTATTTGACAAATTAAGTCATGTTGAATCCTATTTATTCTCATAGAATGATCGGGCTCGATCTTAAGTTCATTTCTAAACCCGCGCAACATCCTCAGATGTCACGTGTGTGCTTACATCATTCTCATCGAGGCTTATATGGGATATATTTTCAGTATATAGATTGGAACTATTATAGATTATCTCCTTTTATCGGCATGAATAAGTGTTGTGGATCCAGTGACGTAGTTTAGCAACACATTAAGTTTCATTTGTTAACATCGATAGTGAAATTTAGCTCATTTCATCTTTTGCATGTTATCATTTTTTCTGTATTCAACCTGTAGGAGTGTACTTCTTCCATCACAATTCAACTTAGCAATGCAAATTTACTGCTTTGGTTTGCCATTGATTCGTACCTTTCAATATAAATCTCCTGTCACTGCTTGTAGGTGAATCATATTGTTGCACAGCGGGCTATTTTTTGCTTCATGCAAATGAGTTATCACCAATTGACGAATCTCCTATAGTTTCTCATAGATGTTTGCATTCATCACAGGCTTGCTGCCTTTTCCTGGAGGTAGTGTATCACACTCACTGCAATCTTCTTTACACGCACCTCTAGATGATCTACCACAGTTACGATATATTCACTACATTTTCTTGTAGGTAGGATTATTATATGCATTATGTGCTTTTCATCATCATCTATGAGTAAGCTGCATTGAATGCATATCTTCTATTACTGCCCGTAGGTAAACTACTGTACATATTATAGGCCTTTTGCCTCACATGCAAGCAAGTCACAAGGAATGCATATCTTCTAGTGCTGCATATAGAGATTTATATTTACTACACACATCTATATTTGCTCGTTAATAGCAAGTTATATACATGACAAATCTCTTATAGTGGCTCATAGGTGTTTGCATTTATCACAAATCAACCACCTTTACTTGCAAGGGGTCAATGTATTCGCCTGACACTGAATGATTGTTGATTATAAGGGTGGCACAGCATCCATTGTCTGTCATTGACTATCATTTATAGGCATACTATACGACAAATATTTTGTCATTGCTAGTAGGTGTTTTCATTCATTGTATGTCAAAGTGTGTATTTCTATAAGGAGTATTATCATTTACAAGAAAGTTTAGTGTGCTCATTTGCATGCTAATGTGAGATACCAGTTGAACTACATTTATTACCGATTTCCCCATGCATATTAACTGGTAAGTTGTTATATCTATTATGTATCTCATGAACAGATTAATGCACTTGCTCATTAGTTAACTGTTGTTGATTGCAGCAGGTTCATGTATTCATTTGCAGTTAAGTGACATTGACAGTACACAAACTTTATGTACTTCAGACTTCATTGAATGTATCAAATCGGCATACTCATTGTATATTGGCCCTCTCTGCTTGCAGGGGATTACTGATGTGAGCATCGTACATCAACTATTTGATCTTTGCTTACAAGCAAATTGTGTTTGAAACTTTGTTAGTCATAGGTTCCTTGCTTATTCATTTATGTTCAATTGAATGACTCGAACTGTGTTTTAAGATTTGTATTTTCAAATTGATTGTGCATTTTAGAGTTTTAAGGTCCAGTTCCCTCTGGTTAAGTTCAAGTTATGTTCTCTATAATTTTATTTAAGTCAGGTCCCTTACTTACTATAAAATTTGGCAGCCTTCTGGTGTCCCCTCCGTACAATGAGAGTTTGGAGAGAAAACTTGCCCCTTATAGTTCACCCAACAAGATATGATTCAAAAGTCAATGGCTTCAAGGGATCTAATTGACCCCAGAATTGCTCTTCAAGTCTTGTAATATGAAAATTACAATATTATGGCATTTTTCTAAGATTTTGGCAGCCTTTCGGCACCCCCTCCCCATGAGGGGAGGTTGGGAAGGTCATTTTTTCTTTTAATATGCTAGGTTATATCAAATACAGGGCCGAGGGCTTCACACAATATATCAACCCCAAAATTAGTCTTCAACACTCCAATTTGACGAGTGCCATGCTTGAAATTTGGCATCATATTAGAATTTCGGTAACCTTTCGATCCCACCCCACCCCCTAATGAAGGGAGGGGAACATATCAACCCTAAAATAAGTCTTCAGTGATCACTGTTATGATACCCGATATATATATATAAACATATCAACCTCGAACATAATTCATTGTGATTGATTGGATTCAATCTTTGTTTTAAAATAAACAAAAATTAGAAAAAAATATTAATTATTTTTTCTATGAAATTAAAAAACAAAAAAAAAATATTCTATTATTAGTTTTCGCATTAAAATCTGATTTTTAGTTTTTAATCAAAAAAGATTGTTGAAAAAGTTTTTAAAATATCAATTTATCACCCTCTTGGTGTGCCATTTCAACATTCAATTGATTTCACAACCAAATATTGAACCTTCACACCAGATTCCCTAAGAGAAATAGTTTTCCAAGAGAATCTATGTAACATATTATCAGCCCTATTGCAATGTAAAAAATTATTAATCAAACTAATAATATTCCTTCCAAGTCCATTAGGAATGGATATGGATTCAACCCAATAGTAAATCTAATTATAAATTGTTGATCTAACCAATTGAAACCTACCAACAAAGTAAAGGGTATTTTTTCTTCCACCCACCAAGCCAAGATTGAAAATTTGACATGATTTTATAGCAATTATTGAGTTTGATTTGTGATGATGTAAGGCCAATGCCAAGATAATTCCAAGGTAGAGGCCCTTGACAAATGTCAAGGTGGCTACTCAAATGATCTTGTCATTGTGAGTTGAAATTTTAAAGTAGAAATAGAAGACTTTGTTATGTTTTGCATTAAGACAAGGCTTTCTTGAACAAGTTAAGAGTATATTTTAGGAGAATTTCCCCACCGAACGATTCAAAGGCCAACCAAAACGCACCATGTAACCTAATACCTAGCAGTACCCAGCACTGATACCGAGAAAAAAAAAGTGACGTTGTGCGTCTTAATTGACCTCCAAATGACGTATGGTGTCCTCACAAAATAATTTATCATATTTAAGAGATGTGATGATAAAGCCATCAGCTATGCCTAAAACCAATAGGTCATTAGCATACATATCTTATTACTATCTTATTGTCTATAGGAACCATGACACCCAAAAAAAGGACAAAAAAGGAAAATGAGTACATAAGGCAAATATACAACAATTAAGAAGCTATTATCTTAGGCTTATATCCAGCAGGCTTAAACATTTTTAAATTCAACTAATATCCATTTAGAGTTGAACAAATCAAATTATAAATTAACTAAATATAGTTTTAAGCTTAATATATTTAAACTTATGTCTCATGAAGCTTTTCATATAAATTTAGCTACAATTAAGAAGTTTTTCATATAAAAAACTCTTTTGAGCCAATCTGCTCCCATATATATATAATTTTCATATAATATTAAGATTATAAGCTCATCATTTATGATCAAAAATTTCTAGCATGTAACAAAAATAAATCTAAAATTAATTAAAATAAATGTAATCATCACTGAATTTATAATTATAATTAAAATATCAAAACAATAAGTCAACTAACATTTATACAATAATATACCAGGATCAGTTAGTAAATGACTTGAGCCAAAAATACAGTCAAATAATTTTCTCAATTATCTCAATTGCTTATAACAATATATCTTCTTCGCCAACCAACCAATCAGATTAAACCCGATTAAGGTTTCGTTTGGGATGACTTTTTCATTGCTTCTTTAAGCAACTTACAAAAAATTTAATTTTTTAACAAAAAAGCTACTTTAAGAAGCAGTCAAAAAGCCGTCCCAAATGAAACCTAAATCTTAAACCTACCATAACTTAGCTATCTTGATTTAGCTTAAGCTCCAACTAAATATCTTGAGCTTTATTGCAACAATAGGTATTATTATTCAATAAATGTTTACAGTTGATTTCTAGTTATTCAGGCAAAAATTCCCTACTTCATTCCATTACATTTCTACTTGTTTTTGCCTGTTTTATTTATGCAAAGTACATCAATCAGTATCACAGTACACAAACCTCTTCAGTTAATTACCAAAGACAAGGCAAGCTGCAAGCGTACTGATTATAGGAACTGTAATGTTGTCATCAATCACTTGAGATATTGGAAGAGATTCCGCAATGGTTGCGGCCAAAGAAACCAAAACTACCTTCTCAACGGTCCTCCAATCCAAATGGAAGTAACCAAAAGCTGAAAAATAGTAAAGCATCCTACATGAAAAACAATGAGAAATAAAAACAATTCAGTAACAGAGAATATTTGAAGCAGGTGTAATGAAATTTTGCACTTATCAGGAAGAAGATAGAAAAAGATGCGACGAAGAAGAACATGGAAATGCGACTAAGTACTGAAATTAAAACCTACATGATAGAGAAAATAAAACCAAAGATGAACATGGAAATGCTTCCAATCCAGCTTTTCTTTCTATTGTGAGGAAGCTTCAGAGATCCGTATCTTCTACCCAGAATATCAGCAAAACCTGAAAAGTAAATATATGTTTCTTGGACTATCAAGAAAACAAAAGAAAGCATCGGATGAAATTACCGTCTCCGCCACTCATCATAGCCACTAAAATGATACCGATGGGCGATTCACGCCAGAAGAATAAGGAAGAAAACAACAAGACAAGGACATAGTAAAGGGGACCTCTCAGCAATTCCCTATTAACAAGAAAAAAGTGTGATTGATAGCTCATAATCATTTGATGCCACAGCAAAAGGGCAAAATGACTTACTTTGATTTTCCTTCTCTTGTGACTGATTTTATCAGACTTTCATCTGTGACAATAGAGAGGCCATAGATTATAAGCCTTATACTGTTTAGAAGAGGAACAAGTGCAGCAAAATATCTTGCCTCGGACGAAGAGCTGCAAGGTGGCAGAAGAAAAACAAAAATAGTTGGTCTGCATAAAGGTTTGGAGGAGTAAAGATATAAACACTGAAAGTTAGATCAGGGAAACACACAATTTTACTAAATTTGGAATACGGAGAGAAAAGGATACCTGAACATAGGCCAAGAGGCCATATAGAGAAGACCAGATAATACATGGACAATCTTTCTGCTTAAGCTCTGTTCTGAAATACAAATTAGTGATTATTGTCAAGGATACCAAAAACAAAAGAAACTAAGGTTTTCATCATTGAAAATTCTATCTATATTAGGGTAATGCTAAGCTATTATACTTTTAAATGCTCGAGTAATGCTATGTTAGCTTACTCATAACACAAAAATTCTTTATGCGTTGGCACTAAGAGAAAGAAAAGTAGCATTGTTCTGAATAATAAAAGTGGCATTACACTGCTCTATAATTTGATCTCCACAAAGAGATAGGTTGTAGAAGTAGTAGATTAGAAGAGAAGAAGAAAAGAATGTCCACTGGTTCATGGCATATGTACGAAAGAATATACTTGAATAAAAAAAAAATTAAGGAGAATATCATTAGCACCATCCAACTCAAAGAATGTTCACTTCAACCATCCAACTTAAATTATGCTAATAATATCCCCATCTATTTTATAATCACTCTGAATAATAGACTCAAGATATCTAAAACATGTATTCTTATTAATGACTTGATCGCCCAAAGTCACAAACCCTTCACTATATCTATTACTAAAATTACACTCCATATATTCAATTTTACATCTACTCAAATAAAAACCTATAGACTCTAAGGTTGGCCTCCATAATTCAAGTTTACCTTTAACTCCCTCTCTAGTCTTATCAATAAGGAGAATATCATTAGCAAAAAGCATACACCAGAGTACAAACTCTTGCAAATGTCTAGTAACATCCATGACTAAAGAAAATATATATGGGCTTAAGGCTAATCATTGATGTAATCCAACAGAAAAAAGAAAATACTTGGTCAAACCACCTTATGTTTTAACACAAGTAGTAACACCTACATACATATCCCTAATGACTTGAATATAAGCATTATTAACTCATTTCTTCTCTAAAACTTTTCATAGCACTTCTCTTGGAACTTTATAATATGCTCTCTCCAAATCAATAAATATCATATGAAGATCCTCCTTATATTCTCCATACTTCTCCATCAAACCTCTCAATAAATGAATAGCTTCCATAGTAAACCTACCCAGCATAAATCCAATTTGATTTTGAGAAACATTAGTATCACATCATAACCTATACTACGTAACTCTCTGCAAAAGTTTTAAAGTATGACACATAACTTAATTACTCTATAATTCGCACAATCTTCTGCATCACCTTTATTCTTAAAAATATGAACACACTCATTCCCCACTCATATGACATCTTTTTAGTCTTCAAAATAATATTTAAAAGTTTAGTAAGCTAAGAAATTCCTTCATCTTCTAAGCATTTTCACACCTCTATTAGAATATCATCAAGTCCAACAGCTTTTCCACACTTCATTTTATTTAAAGCCTCTCTAACTTCGATTTTACTAATACGCTGATAAAAACAAAAATCATTATTTTCATTTAGGATGTTAAGGTCACTAAAGTCAATCATATTTTACCAATCTTAATTGAAAATTTTACCAAAATATCTCATCCAAAGTTGTTGAATATCTTCTTCATATAAAAGTACTTTTTTATTTTCATCCTTAATGCAATTCACTTGCACTAAATCCTTACAACTAATATCGCTTATTTGGTTAACTTATACATATATCTTTCACCCTCCTTAGTATCAAATTTATTATATAAATCATTAAAAGTTAAAATATTTGCATCGCATATTGATTTCTTAGACTAGTTACGGGTCTCTTTATATCTTTCTCAATTATAAGAACTTTTACATCTAAACAAATTTTTATAACAAATCTTCTTACTTTTTATCTTGCCTTGCACATTTTGATTCCACCACCAACTATTTTTACTATTAAGAGCTATTTCATTTGATACTTTAAGCACATCTTTTGCAACATTCATAATATCACTATCTACTTTTGCCACATAACATTAGCTTTCTCGCGTACAGACAAAACCTTAAGATCTAGAATCTTACGCTCAAAAATATTTTTGTTAATATTCTTTAAAAGCCCCCATCTAATCAAAAAAATGTTTTACTTTATTTTTTATATTTTGTCTCTTTGTCTTATCGTTTAAAAATAATAAACAATATTGGGCACATAAACTTTCAATTTGAATAACTTTACAATCTTTAGAATCTAAACGATCTCTTTTTCTTATAAGAAAGTAATCAGGTGGAGATTTATTATATCTATTCTTATAAGTGATTAGATGTTTATCACTTTTTTCAAATAAGGTATTAGCAATTGCAAAGTCATAAACTATAGAAAAATCTAATATAGTCTTATCACCTTCATTAATCACTCCAAATCCATAGCCACCATTAATGCTTTAAAATAAACTACATCTCTACCAACATGTTCATTTAAATCTCCTCCAATAAAACTTTTTTCTTCAAGAGGTATCTTTTGTATTAATCCTTCTAAGATATTCTAAAATTTTGATTTTGAACACATATCCAAACCTACTTGAAGAGCATAAGCACTTATAATATTAATAATTATAGCATCAACAACAATTTTTATCTCTATAATTCTATCTCCAACTCTATTAATTTTTATATCATTATCATTCAAACTTTTATTTATAATCACACCTACACCATTTCTAGTACGACTCTTACCAGAATATCATAGTTTAAATCCTAAACTATCAATCTCCTTAGCTTTCTCTCCAACCCATTTAGTTTCATAAATGCATAGAATATTTATCTTCTTATGAATCATAATATATATTAATTTGGCTATAACGGAACCTATAATCCAAAATCCTATCCTAATTTCAATCCACATCCATCCATGATGTGGGAACCCTTGCCTATTTAACATTGTGGCCCTTGCACACTTCTCACTGTATTCAACCCATACAGCGGGTTTCTTCTAAGGAACGCCCTAGCATTAACAAAATGTATTAAAGGATTCATGTCATGAGTATTCGAAAAGTTTTAGGCTAACTATCGACTACTTAACGCAACACTCCACTTTTCTCATCAAGGACTTCGAAACTAGCAACGATAGTGTCATAAATTTGATTAAAGTATTATAATTGTTAAATTTGATTACTTAACCCATTCAATTTGTTCATTAGAAGCATGCAGAACAGGTGAAATTATTAGACGTAGTCAACGAAGGAGGCTATGCACAAGTGTTATAATCCTCTTATTGATTATCCACACCCTTACGAACAGCATTATCAACATTTAGTAATTTCTTGTATAATAGATGATGTTAAGTACAATAAAAAATGGTTACAAGTGACTACACCATTACAAGCGCAATTCTGAAACACTTGAAGTACTTCAAAGAAATCCTGTGTCTTCATTTATTTTTTTAGTTGTGTTATGCGATGCCATGTGAAAAATGATAGTGCTATTGTGATAAAAATAGACACCCCGCACTTAAGTGCAATCTCCATCCTCATGAAGCCATGGTAGAGAATACATTGGGAAGGAATTTTTGAAACGAATTTTCCAAAAATATCAAAATTGTAATATTATGGATTGTTTAAAAGCAACGCAGAAGTAATAGATTACATAGAAAAGCCTAATATATATAAAAGTTCCAGTTAAGTGAAATAACTCAAGGAGTACACTGCCAAGTAGGAGTTGAATACCAAAGCTACTTAAGACGAGGAGGAATCTCAAGCTCCTAATAAAGGGAGTGGAGATTCTAAGGCAATTATATCGGCAACAAAGAGACTTGAGGTAGAGTCCAAGATAACAATCCTTAAGAGTAGATTTGAGAGGTCTTGCTGAGATAGAATATTTTAATGAGATAAGGAATCTTGAGGTCGGCATTAAGGCCATGAAGACAAAAATGGCAAACCAAATAAAGTTTATCATGGAGAATGTTGCCAACTTTAAAGTCTTCGGCCAAGTTGACAGAAAGCGCTTTAACAAAGTAGAAGCCAACCTAACATAATATGCTAGCTAACCTAACTTAATATGCTAGTTACCCTACCAAGATTCTTGAGAGATTCACCAAAGAAAATCTATGAGAAATTAGTGAGCTGAGAACAAAAGTCACTCTTAGACGACTAGGACAAGTAAGAGGACTTCATCTTGGAGTGAAGAAAGCGATGATTTGATCTTAGAGCCCAAAAGTGGAGGAAGAAGCAAGAAAAGATGATTCACCAGAGGCTTCTGCAATTATCACTGTGGCTTTAATGTTACCTTCTACTCACCCCATGACAACTTCCGTAGTAGCATGTGCCAGGAGAGTCTTTCTTCAGCCGAGTTATAATGTTGAGGCACCAACATGAGGTAAGGATATCGTTGTTAACCCCACAGAAGTTGGGTTTGGACTGAAAATAGCCTATTGATTTCAATGAACAAGGGCATAATGATCTCGAAAGACAGTCTAGGACTATCAGTTCTGGAGGAGATATGAACCATGAGGGTAAGTAGAGTCAATAAGGGGAAGAACCTCTTAGTCCTCCCATGGAAGCTTCAGACCCTCTATCTGCAACAAGGAGAGTAAAGTTGCATTCAACTGAGAGAAACAACTTGTTAAGATTATTTTCAACTCAAGTGTTGATCCCTTGATAGATAAAGGGGAGTTTCATCGGCTATATATGACCATAGGCAAGCTATATTCTTGAGTCGGCCCACAAGAGGCTTGAGAATGTGTCAACTATTGACTTGTATATAAGAACCATGCATAACCATGTCTAGTATTAGTAGACAGGTTTCTTCCTAATAAGAAACCGTACAAAACTATTCACCAAATACAAGAACAAAGAAAAAGATTTTGATATTATGAATAAAAAAAATAGAGTTAGAAGTTTCTTGCAACAAATAGAGAGTCCTACGACATCGAAGCTGAGAAAGGTAAGTGCCTAAAAGAAAAGAAAGTGGAGCGTATAGAGAAATGCAAGCATCTAAAAGCAAAGAAAGGCAAATGCTTGAAAGCAGAGTAAGTCGAAATAATTTTGAAGAAAAAGTCATCCGAGAAGAATGCTTCTCGCTATATGGTAGCTAATTAAATGGAGAAGTCACGGTTAGATCTCACGTGCACAAGCAGCACATGCGAGATCCAAAAACAC